AAACCTATATCTTCAATGTTCACTCCGGTACTTGATAAAGTCAGGAAAAAATTAGCGGGTTGGAAAGGAAAGCTTCTATCCATGGGTGGTAAGCTCACTTTGATTAATCTGTATTAAGTTCCATACCTATCTATTTATTTTCTGTGATCACCCCACCCATAAAAGTAGTTAAAGAAATTCATGCTCTTTTTGCTAACTTTTTTTGAGGTAACACTGAAGATGGTTTTAAACGTCATTGGGTTTCTTGGAATAATATTTGTTTCCCGCAAGAGGAAGGAGGTTTGGGGATTCGCAATCTCTTTGATGTGATCAAGTCGCTTCAATGTAAAATGGCTTGGAGAATTATTTCTTCACACACTCTCTGGGCTAATTTCATGCGACAAAAATACCTCAGTCATCACCTAGATATGGCCAACATTCCTGTTAGTATTAAAGACTCATCCATATGGAAACATCTTTCACATCACTTCCCCTTTATTTTGGAACACAGCAGATGGCTGATCCGAGATGGCAGTGCTCTATTCTGGTATGACAATTGGAGGGGTTCGGGTACTTTATCTGCACTTGGATGGACTATCATATCCCCAAATGTAAAACTTCATGAGGTAGTTTTAAATGGCAAATGGAACTTGGATAAACTTTTTTTCTTTGGGTGGTGCAATTTTAGTGGAGGAAATTCAACGCTTACAAGTTCAACTTCGCAAAGGTAATGATGAATTAATTTGGTCTCCTTGCAGGAACGGTTTATTCGCTACTAGCTCAGCTTGGTCTCTCATTAGACCTACTAGATCTTCTACTCTTCCTTATAGGATCATTTGGAATCCTATCATGCCACTAAAAATTTCTATTTTTTCTTGGCGCCTTTGGAATAACGTGGTCCCTGTTGATGATATGGTCCGGCGTTGTGGGATTACTATTGTCTCCAAGTGTCAATGCTATCCACAGGGGCATGAAGAAACAATAGATCATGTTTTCGCAACCAGTCCAACTGCTCTTCAAGCATGGCAATATTTTGGAAAATTACTTGGGGTTCGAGTTACTACGAATATTTCTTGGAGGTCTGCAATGTTACTTTGGCATTCTCATTTTGGCAGTTCAACACATGAACATCTTTTAGCTTTACTTATCCCACCTCTGCTTTCATGGGAGCTGTGGTTGGCTAGAAATTCTGCAAGATTTAAGGATGAGGCTGTTGACTTGCACAAAATTTGTGCAAAGGTGAAAAATTGGCTCCACGAATTGAATGGTTTCCTTAAACCTAGGAAACTGTCTATCTCCTCCTATTTCTCATAGGTGCTTCACATCCCTACTGTTCCTATACGAGTAAAAACTCATTTCCTTGTTAAATGGTACCCTCCACAACATGGTGGTTACAAACTTAATATTGATGGTGCTAGTGCTGGCAATTCGGGCCAGGCTGGTTGTGGTGGATTGCTTCGGGATTGGCAAGGTAAGGTAATTTTTGGATTTTATCATTCCCTGGGGGTTGGTACGAACACTCTAGCAGAGGTATCAGCACTGAGAATAGGCCTTCAAATATGCTATGTTCTTGGCATTGATAGAATTGCAATAGAAACAGATTCTAAGGTGGTGGTCCATTGGTTTCAACATCAAGTGAACATACCTTGGTCTATTCTTCTTATGTGGGAGGATATTTTGGAGTTTGCTCATGTTATGTCTATTGATATATCGCATATTTATCGAGAAGCTAACCAGGCGGCAGATTCATTAGCACGTATTGGAGCTCAAGGTAATTCGAGCTTCTTAGAATCTATCTCCGGTTTCCCTGTTTTTACTATTGGTTGCATTCGATTGGATAAGTGTAACTTGTCTTCTTTTCGTTTTCCGTAGTTGTAATGAGATTCTATTGTAAGGGAAGTAGTACTTCCTTTTTTACTGCTTTACGTTCTTTTTACTGTAAGGGAAGTAGTACTTCCCCATTTATTTCTTCGTTACTTTTCAATTGTAACCACGGTATTCCTCCGCCACAAGTGAGGACATATTAATAAAATTTCGGAGGTACCGCCCTCCTTCTTTAAAAAAAATAAAAAAATAAAAAAATAATAAAATTGACTTTCTTATAGTATTAGTTACTCTCCGGGATTTGCAGTGTGGAGAACCCAACAATGTTGGAGATTTAGACTTTAGAGAAACAGCCCTTCTATAAATTTCTTCGAAGTACTTATATAATTCATCCACTCGCACTTGAGCACTATTATACGCATTGGGAGGACTTCCATACTTAGTCTGGGGATTTTTAAGTCATGTAAACATTATTCTTTGTGGCCTTGAGCATGATTCTTTCATTTGAGGGTGTGATCGATTCACACACAAATAAGTATATAATATACTACATATGACAAAATAATATATTCTATGTAATATTTGTCGTACACAAGTTTTACATATATATTCCGGTATATTATACATTTGACTATCAGAGTAAGTTTATGACATGTATTTTATAATTGAGCGGTTATTAACATGTAAATGGCTATGCAGGGTGTGCAATTGGCGTGGGTGTACCATATTACTTGGCTAGTGAATTCAGCTTGCCATGTTTGGGGAAAGTAGTCATGGAATACGGGTGATTTTTCCAAAAATAATTGGTAATTTTTCAACATTTAACGGTATCACTTTTTTTTTCTCTTTTCTTTTTTCGCTAAGTTACTTCTTCGAAAAATGAGTCATAGATAAAAGAATTATACTTATAGATCCTACAAAAGTTTGACTTTAAAAGATAATTTTTTAATTTAAAAAGAAAAACTCAATCACAGGCTATATTATAAAATGCAATATTACTTTCTTCCTCAACTTTCTCGAAATTTGCCAAACACCGGTAACTAAACAAAATATTGTGAGTTTCAGCGGGAAATTTTTATCCTGCCAACTGTGGATAGAAGAGCAGGTCTGCTAAAATTATACTTTCTCGACGTATCTTAAAAGTCGAAAATTTGAATGTTTGGCAGGTGGGTGGCTGTGCTTTCATTTGGAGAGGGTTGGCATAACAATCACCATGCCTTTGACTGTGCTGCTAGACATGGACTAGAATGGTTGCAGATTGATATGACTTGGTACCTTATAAAGGTTCCTTGAAGTCATTGGATTGGCAACTGATGTGAAGCTTCCAACATCTGTCCAAAAGCTAAGGATGCAGGCTTTAAGCATTGAGGGTTAGTGATGAAGAAGACAGTTATGAAGGGTTTTATGTTAATTTATGTCAAATTTTAGATGCCTCAAGAAAAAGTTCGAATATCTGAAATAGAGTAAAAGAAAAGTCTACTAATGAGTATTTATGAATGTGAATGCTTACTCTTGCATTTTAACATTGGTTATTACCTCCAATACTCACATTACGAATTATTTTCCTTTTCAGAATGAAAATTATTGTGGTTGGCTGCACTCAGTCCTTGGCATTGGGTAAATGAATAACATAATCTGGTACTGGTGCAAGGTTTGGGTTTTATGTTGCAACATATTGTTCAGATGTGCATTATGCTACGTTTCCCTTTTTAAGGTTTATTCTGCAACTTCTCTATAATAACAATCTTCTATTAACGGAATTAAGATCCACATGACATAGCCCCATTAGACGATTTTGGTTCGGTCATATGACTTGGTTATTTGACAATGACTATTGTTAGACTCTAAATTTATTTTAAATAAAATTAAGAACTTTTGAGCAAATCATTTGGAAAATAAGAAGTGATTAAAAAGTATGAAGATAAATGGGTATATTTGGAAGATTTAAAAAAAAAAAAAAAATTTAAATTATTAGGAAAATAAGAAGTGGTGGACACATTTTTCAATTTCCCTATTTTAAAAGTGACCTTCCTGTAGAAATCAATTTGTTGTTGCTGCTACATGTCAATAATTCTTGATATTAGTTTCAAGTTGAATTTTGCAGCGTGGAAAGCCCAACAATGTTGGAGATATAGAGAAGCGATCCTTCTATAAATTTATTCAAAACACTTATATGATCCATCACTATGAAGTACTTCGATGTGTTCCTTCTCTCACGCTAAGAAGATTAAGAAAAGCGAAAAAAGCCAATAATATTACATTATACAAGACAACATAACTTGCATCGACCCAGCATTTGAACAAGAATATGGAAGTACTTTCTTATCTTTAATTATGAAAAATTATATCACAACATCATGAGAATATGAAAATAATTACATATATTCAACAACAATGAAATGTCAAAAAGATATAGAGTTATCTGCGTATCAATATAGTGTAGCGTGTTTGATAAATAGCACTAGACGGAAATCAATAGTAAATAATATTTCAACTTTTTTTCTTATTTAATATTATTCAATCATGTCCAATAGCGTGTATAAAACATACACCAAAAGCTTGAGAGTTGCACGCAACAAACTGCACAATTTGCCAAAACTACGGAATTGCACACAATTTCACCCACAAAATTATCATACAGTATTCTTTGCCAAGATAACATTTTGAGTTCTATTTTCTTTATTAATATTGTCCAATTTTTTTCAATTCCCCTAACCAAACATTGATAGGTACAAATTTCCTCCAGTTGTATACAATGACACTTGTAGATGCTACAGCTGCAATTTTGCTGCAACGAGGCTGAGATGGTTTTGGAGAGATGTTCACACAAGAAAGGATAGCATTGTGTGAACAGACGCAAGGCAATAGAGACATATTTCGTGTGAACACAAATAAAATCTTGACCTCACCATCAGTATCTTTCACTCTCTGAAATCTCCAATCCAACTAATAAGAACCCGACCCCCACCGCCTTATCACCTCCTTTCAAACCTTCGTTCTATTTTTCTCCGTCCATATTTGGTTTATTATATTGAACACGATTTTGTCATTTTTAATAATGTTATAGTTGTCTCTATCACATATTATAAAGGTTTGAATAATCTACCCCATGAATTCTTGAGAGCTCAAAATTCCACAACCCAACTATATAAAAACCTAAGATCCCGTGTTCTAAACGAAATGCCTAAGCCAAGAAAATGGCGACTCTGCTACCACCACCACCGTCCAAGGCTAAACCTATCTCATTTTCAGCCCCCCACCGCCTAAAAAATATACCAGCAAAAACCCATTTTCCTGCTATTATACATGAATATCAAGAATCAGTATATGATGCTAAAAACATTAGGAAAACACAAAATTCCCTTAATTATGGTTTCAAAAGAAAAATTGGAAATGTCAAGAGTAGAATACCCATTGTGAGTGCAGCATCAATTCCATATCCAGAATGTGGAAAAGATTCAAAATTTGGGAGAATCTTGCTGTCCGATGTGGTGGTGAAGAGGAAGAGGAATGTGTATTGGGGCAGAAAGTGGAATTCTTTGGATGTTGCCACCGTAGGGGTGGTGCTTGCTATGCATTTGCTGTGCCTCTTTGCCCCCTTTGCATTCAATTGGGGTGCTTTATGGGTTGCTGTTGGATTGTATATTATTACTGGCCTTTTGGGTGTTACTCTTTCTTTTCATAGACATCTTTCTCACAGAAGTTTCAAGATTCCCAGATGGCTTGAGTACTTTTTTGCATACTGTGGTGTTCAAGCACTTCAGGTCAGTTGATTTTATATTTTCATTAAAATCATGCCCTTCATGGTTCTACGGGATATTAGAGCACGTAATCAAAATCACTCAGCATCGTGTGGCTGGTTTGCTGGTTTCTTCCCTATTAACGATTATACATTTCTGCAGTTTATTTCAGATTCCAGCTCTTAGTTTTAATTCCCTGTTTGTTCATTATACTTGACTGAAGAAGATTTTGACGACACAATTCAACAATTATCATTAGCTTTGAGAATTTAGTGCATACTTTTGTGTGGAAACTTGGATGTTAATGTGTTTTTTTGCATTTTGGATGCAGGGGAACCCAATTGACTGGGTGAGCACGCACAGGTACCATCATCAATTTTGCGATTCGGAAAAAGATCCACATAGTCCCATGGAAGGATTTTGGTTTAGTCACATGAGTTGGCTTTTCGATACGAATTCCATTGTTGAAAGGGTAATTACAATTCCTACATCTCGATCAGGAAATTGTGGCCATTATTTTCCACTCCTTGACTTGGGATTAGTTAGTAGTTGTGTTTCTCAATTGGACAATCGAAGAATTGAGAAAGAGAATCACATAACGGCCCACAAATTTTTTGAAAAAAATGTTTAATTCATCGGCATTAACTAGTTATTTGCGAATGATTCTTGATAGTCTCTGCTTTGAATTTGCAGTGTGGAAAACCAAACAATGTTGGAGATCTAGAGAAGCAGCCATTCTATAAATTTCTTCAAAGCACTTATGTATTCCATCCAATTGCACTTGGAGCATTATTATATGCATTGGGAGGATTTCCATACATTGTCTGGGGAATGGCAAGTGCAAATATTATTCTCTGAGGTCTTATAAATGTTAAGGTTTGTTTGAGATTCATGGATCAAATTTTGACAATGCAGGGTGTAAGGGTCGTGTGGGTTTACCACATTACTTGGCTAGTGAATTCAGCTTGCCACGTTTGGGGAAAGCAAGCTTGGAACACGGGTGATCTATCAAGAAATAATTGGTACCGATTTAAACTTTTAAACATATTAAACGTATTAAAATAGTGGAGGTCGTTGATATTGTAACTGTACTAAACAATATGATTTGCATGCTCACCTTCTTCCGACCTCGTCAAACACTTGTAATTAAACAAAGGGTAACATTTAAACGCGTACATATACACATATCTTGTACATATGCTGAATCTACTTATCTTAAGACTTGAAATTTTTGGAAATTTTGCAGGTGGGTGGCTGTGCTTGCATTCGGAGAAGGTTGGCATAACAACCACCATGCCTTCGAATATTCGGCTAGACATGGATTGGAATGGTGGCAAATTGACATGACTTGGTTTGTGATTAGGTTTCTTGAAGCTATTGGACTGGCCACTGATGTGAGGCTACCCAACTCTGCCCAAAAGCAAAGGATGACATTCAGTAATTGAGGGTTGGGTAAAAGGGTTGGTGGGGACATACATAGAACACAGTTGGGAATTCAGAAAACATTTTTGTAACTTCTACGAATAAAGAAATAAATTGTCAACCCTTCTGAAAATGGTCCCAAGTAGGAAATATGCTCAATCCACAAAGTCAACAGAAAATATTGAATATATATCTCAATTTTTTTAAATATTAAAAATTATCGAACCGAATAAATATTCCTTTCTACGAAGGTAAATCTTTGTAAGTTTTTTGTAAATTTTGTAGGTGAAAGTGTGACAACTATGGTTATGGAGTGCAATTGTTGCAATAATGTAGATAGCTTGCAAGATATTGATCTTTAGCCACTAAAATCGTCCATGTGTTTGTATATAATTATGCATTGCGGAATCAAATAAAGTGAACACAACACATCTTCATTTTATAATCCTTTGCCTTTTCTATTACAATTAAATATTATTGTGTGGAATTTTTTTGTGTACAATTAATATTTTCACCTCTAAGTACAAGCACGTATTGACGTACGTGTCAACTAAAAATAGTGCAAAAGACAGACATATTCAAAAATAATTTATTTCCAAATTCGTTCAAACATTGTTCACTGGAGACCATCATTATCTAATCACAAAGAAGAGCAACAAATTAATTATAGTTTAATCTCTGGCCACCAAAACTAAGAGATTAAAGTCACAATTCTTCTATAGTTTCTTCCATCTTGAGATTCTACGCATTGGGTTCTAAAGTTGTCACTAAATTAAACTAAAATCTCATTTCTAATGAATTTTGTGAAAAAAAAGATTCCTAAGAGAATGGTAATATTATATTTATCTCATGTATCATATAAGAAAATAAAAAGGGTTTTGAAGAGTCTAGTGGTCGAATGTCTATAATTATTTTTTTGCTATATTTCATGTTCTAAGATTAAGGATATTATTGAGGAATAAATGTATTTCAAATAGTGATATAATGAGAAATATGTGGTTAAAAAGTAAAGAAAATTTATTGACGTTATGGAAAATATTATTTTATGGCAAAATGTGTTATTAAAAATAAGTTATGAAATAGGGGCTGTCTGGTTGGGATTTTCAGCCTGACACAATCTTGGAAATGCGACCGTTGTTGGGCTTCAACGGGTAATAAAAGCAATTTTAAGCTGAAATTAATTGCAGACAGACAAAGGCATAATGTATTTTGAAAGAAAGTGTGGGTGGCTAAGAGTTAAAATATAGTTTTAAACAACATATTTAAGATTATTCTCTCAAACGAAGCTTCGGGTTTTTTTCAATAAAATTGAGAAATCTCAAACCTAACGAAAAATCAGTTGGAAACAAATCGTATGTTCAGAATTCGTTTACCAGTTCGTTGACTAGCCTTTAGCTAAATGGATTCTTTTTCATGTCCCTTTTTCTTTGCACTTCACACACTGCGCAAATTCAGCTCTCTATATAATATCACATCCATCGTGCTCAAGAATTTATACCGTTCTTCAAGAACAAATTTCAAGCAACGAGAGAGATGACGAGTGGAGTAATTGTGGAAGAAGGTTTCGTATACAAGGACGAAACCCATCTCACTGTTTCAAAGACCTCTCTTTTCTTCGCCGGCGATGGCTACACTGCTTACGACTGCAAAGGTGAACTCGTCTTCCGAGTCGAATCATACGGCCCCAACACTCGTGACACGGGTGAACTCGTTCTCATGGACGCCTCTGGCAGATGCCTTCTCACCGTTCGTCGCAAGGTATATATTTCCAATCATTTCTCAGCTCTGGGTCAAATCAGTGGGTCAAGATTTACAATAACTTATTGTTAATCTATTAAGAAACTAATGATGGAAAATTGATTTAGCAAAAGGAGGGTTGCTTCAGGTTCTGACTTGATTTTCTTGGCTTTCACTTTCACTGGATTTGAATTTTGCAGAGACCGAGTCTCCATCAAAGGTGGGAAGGCTTCGTAGGGGAGAGAATTGAGGGACAGAAGCCGATCTTCAGCGTTCGTAGATCATCAATAATCGGACGGGGCAGCCTAGCGGTGGAGGTGTACACCAATCCAGGTGAGGAGTACCAAATCGAAGGCTCCTTCGCCACCAGGCACTGCACGATTTTTAATGCGGAAAAGGAGACAGTGGCCGAGATTCGACGCAAAGTCGATGCCACCACTAATGTCGTGCTCGGGAAAGACGTTTTTTTACTTTCAATAAAACCGGGTTTTGATGGTGCCTTTGGTATGGGGCTAGTCCTAGTGCTTGATCGAGTCGATGGTGATGATTTAGCTGATGAAAATAATAGTGGGGACCATGTGGTGGTTGTAAATCCCACCAATGAGGATGCAACTTTTTCTTCTTAATTTGTAGTTGTGCTTGTAATTTTACATTCTTGTTTGTATCTGTGTTATTTTTGTAATATTGATTTTTCGACAACTGATTTTTTTTTTTTTGGGAGAATCAATGACTAAATAAAAAATTGGGGAAGTAAAGATTATTCCATTTCTTAAAGAAATTTAAGGAAAATGCTGTTTGAATAGAACAAGTTGAAGAGAACAATTTTCAATAATGTATCAATGGCAAGTGGTAAAGATAAAAGATATCAACTGTACATGCGGGAATTCGAATAATAATGTCAAACAAATGATTCTCTATTACAATCTGATTGTCTGTCGATTTTGAATGGATCATAATATCAAAACAAGAACAAGACCAGCAAAGGCTATTTGAGCCAATCCTTCAAGTCCACAGACCTGAAAAGTTGAAAATATTGCAGATAATTTAATATTTTCTACTTTGATCAATAAAAAAAAAGTAACTTGTTTTAAGCTCGCGTACCTTTATACAGAGAGGAGACGAGGTCGCTGAACTAGGTACTAGCCCGGTAAACCCGATGTCATATGATATGCTTCCATCAGCTTTAAACAATCCAAAGTTTCTCTCAGATGTTGGCCCCGGCTTCAAGTTTTCGTTAAACAGCGCGAAGATATAAGCCTTCACGGGAGTCTTAGGTCGATAAGGAGTCCCTTTCTTTTTGAGTAGTCGTTTGCGCAAATTACGATTGTAAGTCCTCGCATTCTTCATGGTAGCTCCTGCTTCACTTTCATCTCCCTTTGAAGCCCAACCAGTTTCAGATACTATGACTTCCATTTTACCAAAACCGGCCTTTTCCAATGCAGCGTAAGAAGCATCAACCATAGCGTCAAACATATTATCGTAGTGTAGTTTAGTCTTCGCATCATAAATACCGGCCGTCTTTTGAAAAATAGCGTAATTGAGATCAATGTGGGCTGGATCGCTGATATAAGCCAAAAAGGGATAAGCATTTATGTAGAACGGTGTACCAATCTGCGAAAAGAACTGTAGAAGTGGCCTCATGTAAGGAAGAACACTGTCCTTAAATACCCCTGCTGACGGAGGGAATGTATTTGCGAAAACAGCCTCTGAATGTGGGCTCGAGACCTCAATTCTAGTCAGTCGCAACCGAACAAGGGCATTGTAGACATTTTTCACTGCCGGCACAAGAACTTCCCATAGTTCAGGATCAACACTCCCGAGCACCTCATTTCCAACAGCGATCCCAGAGATGAGTGTGCCGGGTAGAAATGGCTCGACATTTTCTTTCACCCAATCTACCGCACGATCCGGATTTACGCTGATATCTCTCAAATACTCATTCCCAAGTCCAACAATTATCTCGATTCCAGACCCTCTAAATGCCGTCAAAACTCCATGATCCGCATCATAAATCCTGATGTTCTTTATCTTTGCTGCCTTTAGAAGTGTTACCACGCTTTCGGGTGGTGGGATATTGTCAGCTATTCTACCATAATTTACTCCATATGTACCTGTGAAAGCTTGTGCTACCAGAACTGCAAAAAAAAAAAAAAGTAAGATATGGCTTCACAAAAAATAATAATAATAATGACACTGCTTACAATCATGATATTACGGTCTTTGTTATTGTTGTTCAGAGTTCGAGCCCAAATTTATTTGGAACAAGGCTTAGTTTGCTCCTGTTGTACATCAATTCTAAATATTTATCAGCCCGGAAGCCGAATTTAACGCAATAGCTAACAAACTAAACTTTATATGCATATCCTAAGTATACTCAGAAAATTATAGCATCCATCTCTAAACAGTTAACATTTGATGAAAATGTGTTCCAAGGTTCTCTTTTAGACGAGGTGATTCTAAAAACAGGTACTCCTATAATAAAGAAGAAAGGGCACATACCGTTTGAGAACGGAACAATCGAAAGCGAAATGAACAACGAGAGGAAGAAAGAAAAGAAACCCATAATTTTGATAGCAGAAGTAAATGAAAACAGTCATTCCATTTGTAGAAAAAAAGGATTATTAATGACAATTGTGGATAGGTTGCCAGAACGTAGGCTTGTAGGGTGCAATGCTTCCGCTGCAGGAATTCCATTGACATAGTTGATACACTAAACCCATAAAAGATTCCAAACTTAATCTAAAGATGACGGAAAATTTTAGATTTCTGATGAAAAAAAATCATTTTTGGCTTTGTGGGATTGGAATAAGATTCCAACCTTCTCAAAGTATATTTTTCCTTGCCTTTCATTCTTGATCCACAGTACTACCCTTTTTACTTTTTTGGTAGATTCTCTCTCTCTTTCAAATTAAGATGTCTTTCTAGTTGTACCTTTCGTAAGTTAATATGTTGAAGTTTTGGATGTAATTAGAAAATAGAATGTTTTTCTGATATGGCCAATGCTTGTCTGCGTCCATACTACTGTTGTCAAGCCAATGCGGGCTGCATACACTCACAGTCGGGCCTGATCGTAGGGACGGTTCAGCTCACGACGCTGCCCAGTAGCAATAGCAGGACTGGACATCCTAAAATTGTGTGGAGCTCCCGAGCTAGACAGCTGGGACGATAAATAGAACTACCTTTTCAAACAAAATTTCCTTTCTTCGTATCAGTTTTTGTTCTGTTCATAGTTCACATCACCTAATCGTCATACAAAATCCCACATCAGCCCAAACAATATAGTCTACTGTCACTTAAATCACTAGAAGACAAGGCAGTAGAGCAAAATAACATGTCCTCATATTCCAATCTAATATATTATTTGCATCACAAAACCTACAATGTCATCAACAACCCTGAAGGTTGATTCTCTAACTAAAAACTTGAGAATCTTGCACTTATTAACATTATGCTTACATTAAGTCTGAAAAGTTTTGGATCCCATTTTCATACCAACTCAGAGTATGCTAATGGGACTGTATATGTTACCAAGCGGATATTAGAAGGTGGTGCAGAAGATAAATACAAAGCAAAATGGCAAAATACACTTAACAACTGAAAGGAACAGGAGGATGATTATTTGGAGGCAATGTGTTTCCTGATAGGTTAACCTTGCCATTTTCCATTATGTCCCCTTCTATATTCACCTGCAAATTAAATATGCCACTATTCTCTTGGACTTCATTAGTTTCGGCTCCACTGGCCGCTTCAGTGACGCTTTCTGGCTTATCCTGGGTCTCATCATCTGCCCCAATGTTTCCAGGCTCGGAATCTGGTTTTTCAAACAAAGGAGGTACCTGTTCTTCGACTTTTTCTCCCATATTTGGCATTGCTTCAGTCACAACATTTTCATCTGGATCTTTACTGTCCAATTTGATGTCAGTGTCACTTTTCTTATCAGCGTCTTCTTGTGCTTTACCTTCAGTTTTGACTTCATTTTCCTCCCTCAGATCAATTTCCTTTCCTTCGTCATTTTTCTTTTCATCAACTTCAGCATCCAGCATTTCAGCGTCTTTCTTGCCCCCTGTTTCTTCTTTTCCAGTTTCCATTTCCTTTTCTTTCTTTGTACCTGATGATTTCCTGACTCGTTTCTTAGGTGGTTCAATCTCTTTTGACGGTGGTGTTACCCTGACTTTCTCACTGATTCTTGCTGATCTCCTAGGCATTTCCCCAGTTCCCCAATCAAATTCTGATATTGCCGGATTTCCAGTGTGTGATTTTAGGTACTGCGCCAGTTGTTTCCGGCTACTAATCTCCTCTCCGGTAGGCGCAATAAACACAACCTCGTTCTTTCTTGAAGCACCACCCTTCTTTGTCATGCACTGCATATTAAATGGATGAACCGTGTCAAGAAATTAGATGGATGATAATTATCTCTACATTTAGATAACAGTAAGGAATTACAAGATAATTTGCTGACAACCCAATTGCCCATGACAATGCAGAAACATATATCTCACTTGAAATGTTGGTGTCTATTATACCGGCAGCAGAGGCAGCTCTATTAACACCCATGTATACATGATATGCAATAATAACAATCATCTAAGAGGCCTATATTTCACCATGAGTTTAACCATACGAATAGTATTGTATTAATATTTATCTTATAAATTGGGTACAAAACTCGGATTGCCATAAGCAAATTGAGTTCTTTCCTGACATAGTTTTTCGATTCATGTCTTTCTTTTGTCCTACAAGAATATATTGGAGCCAGTAAAAATAAATATTCATTAAAAAGACAAAAAAAAACCTTTTCAACTACAAATTATTTCCATCTGTATTTTCACGTCTATGGTCTACCCATTTCCATTTCCATTTGGAAAAACAGTTTGTGTCAGCTTGATCATTAAATATTGGACAAACAAGAAACAAGTTAAACAAGCATACACTTCACTCACACTGCAAACCAAATGCCGGCCGCTCATTATCAATGAACAAATGGCACAACCCCAAAGAACAGTTGGATTTATTTCATTTCTTCACATTTTCCATCCACAGGGAGCCCAGATGATCATAAAGTTAGATAAACCTTTTATTAGATGATGCCATATTTTAAAATATATATGACTTAGTTTTTGAAGAGGGAAAAAGAGTCAAATATAATTCTCTGACTTAGTTTTTGAAGAGAGAAAAGGAGTCAAATATAATTCCAACTGCTAAAAAGTCTTAAATATAAAATATTGTCAAGAAATAGGAGACCTAAGCAATTCAGGGGGAAGAAATTGATATGGAAAAAATAGAAAAATAAAATAAAATTAGGTGTAACACCCTGTAAATTTTCGGTTTGAGGCCTAATATTATCAATTTTCTTATTTTGCATTTAAGATATTAAGTCTGGAACATGTATTATCATATGTATTTTATTAGAAATAAATTAATTAAGTTGTTTATGCCCCTCAAATAATTTTATAAAATTAGTTAATTGGTACCAGGATTCAACTTAAATGTAGAACTCAAGGTTCAAATCCCGAGGGACAAATCCGTGTGATAAGATGGGTACAGATTCTCCCATAGCAGTAAGTACATATGAGTTAACCGCTTGTGCCCAGGTCGTTAGGATCCTAATTAACACGGTCTCACTAATTGAAGTAATAATACTAAGGGTCCGTTTGATTCAAAGATGGAATTTGGGTGGAAAGAAAACGAATTGCAGGGAATTGAATTGCCTAGAATTTGTTTTACATAGAATTGTCAATTCTTTTTTTTTTTAAAGATAGGATTGTCAATTAATTGTGTTTGATTGGTATAATTTTTCACCTGAAAAATGTTGAAATTTTCTATCTTTTGGTGTTCGTTTGGCTTTATTTTTCATGAAAATTGTCAATTAAAGAGATATAATTTCTTACAATTGTGGATATAATTTGTTTGGATTGCCAAAAAAAAAAAAAAAATTGAAAAATTTTTGGCGTTCGTTTGACTTTATTTTACATGGAAATTGTCAATTAAATGGCTAATTTTTTTTACAATTGGGGATAGAATTTGTTTCTATTGCCAAAAAAAATAATAATAATAACAACCAAAAAAAAAAAACAAAGATGAAAAGGCAGGAATTGAAATTCAACTAAAGCCAAGAAAACTAGCGAAGGTGGAAAATCAATTCCACGGAAAAAAAAAAGTGTCATCAAACGTGGCAAAAGTAGTAAATGGAATTTCAATTCCAACTTCCATCATAGGATTGTACCTAGAAAAAGGTGGAAAACCAATTCCAGGAAAAAAAAGTGCAATCAAACACGACAAATTTAGGAAACGGTATTTCAATTCCAACTTCCATGGAAAATAAGCCTATCAAACAGGCTCTAACCGAAAGAATCATCCAATTGAAGAAATAGGAACGATTGCAGATACTACCCCCAAATATAAATGAAAAAACAATTTATATGTAATCAAACATATTACAAGCAGATTTTAACAATCAAAATCAAGATTCAAAAAGCCAAAAATAAATAAATAATAAAATCAAATGATTATTTAGAACTGGAAAAGAGGGGGAAATAAAAAAAAAAATTCCCACTAAACCCAAATTATTGCAATATTTTAAACCCTAATAACAATGGATTATTGCCGACAAAAATTGCGAACAGCCATGGAAACACACATTAACACAATAAAAAGGAAAGAAAAATTATACAAAAAACTACTAGAAAGGCCTATATTAATTCATCTGCGAAGGAAAAAAGAAAAGTTGCAAAAGCTAAGATTATACGAAAATACCAATTTTTTCCAAGTAGCAGGCGCAGGAAGCTCCACTGAAACAACACCGTCAACAGGTCCACTCTGATCCTCCGCCATTTTCGTGACCTACGGTACACAAACCAAAATCAGCTCTAGAGGTACAGTCAATAAAGCAGAAGGTACACTGAGAGCAAAATTCTCTTTAGCGAAAATATAGTGCGCGCCCCAAATAAATCGCCACGACGCCTTTTTTTTCTTGGAGAAGTGGATAATATTAATCTACCTTAAATGGGACAATAGAGTTCGTGCTATCTTAACAAGTGACACGTGGCCTTTATTTGATTTGATGATGTTAAAGCTGTTTCTAGTGCTCGCTCAGAAAGGACACCATATGTTATATGGCATGTAAGTGAGGGAAATTGATAGTGAATTCACCCTCTCATCTACCTACCAATATAAAATGACAAATATAGCCCTCGTTTGGTACACATTTTTGAAAGAAAAATGCATTTTTACTGTTGATGTGATGATAAATATTATTTTATTGAGAAATGTATAGTTAAAAATGAGTAGAAGAATGAGAATGAAAAAAATAATGTGATTCAAATAGGGCCATAATATTTTTTAGGTTGAAAACTAAATCAATTAAATATATTTAATTAATATTTTCCATACAAGTTTCATGCTCGTAATTAAACGTACTCTAATGGTAATCATTCCATTGTTATTTTGATTTCAATCGAAGATGATATTTTATAATTATTAGGATTTTATGATTTTAGTTGAAGATGATATTTTAAACGCAAATTCTAAAAGAATATAAAAATGTTCAAAAGAATTTAATGAAAATAAATATTAATTGATGAATTTAGATTGATATATTTTTATTTAATTTTATATATATCTATTTAGGTAAATTTACATAGTCGACAGGATAATTTTCAGAGGAAATAAAAAATATAGAATTCTCTTCCCTAATCTACAACATTAAAATCCATTTCTAAATCAAACTAGTCACTGAACTTTCATTCTTGTTTCAGTTTAGTCATTACTTCCTCGACTAACTATCTTTCTATCAATTCTAATTGTTCTATATACAAAGAGCAGAATTCAATTAGCATTGCAATTTTTTCTTGATGATCCTAGGGGATGACCGGGTAGGTTGGAATGAAATATCGAAAAATTCATTTAACCTCAAATTTTTAAAAAAAAAACCAACAACAACAACAACAACAACGTGTGTTTAGTACGAAAGTCAGAGGGGACATTTCAACTTTTGAATAAGTTTGTTGTGACATTTATAATATCTGTAACAATATCTTCTTGAACCAAAACCATGTTGTTAGATCTAAATTCAGCCGCAAAAAAGGTTAAGAGCTAAAAGCAACTTGATATATAGATCGTTTTCAATGAATATGTCAATACTCTTCCTCTGGGGCCTGTTGGGAGAAAAGAAAATCGGTTAATTGCAAACCAAAGTGTTACTTAACCGTCTTAAAAGTTAAATCTCTTCTTTGTGCGCATATTTTCGATTTATTGAAGTAAAATAAAACAAAAATTCTATTTGTACATAATTTTTATCCATAAGAGTTGATATAATACTCACATGGAGTGGGTCCCACTTTTGCAGGTCCCACAACATGGGTCCCACTCCATGTGAGTATTATGTCAACCCTTATGTGAACCCCAATATACCCCTAACACTTCTCAAAATAAAAAATGGGAAACCAACATTCAAATTATAACCTTATTAAAAACAACTTCTTTTTATACGATTTAGTGCAAACTTCCTATAAACCCAACAAGTATTGTCAAACACACAAGTTAACAAACTCATCTTATTTTCATACTCATCCATTTATAATACATATATTCTTCACTCGAGCTACCTTACAACAGAAGGTTGACTAACTGTATAATCAGTTCACTTTAATTTCCTTGACATTTTTCTCATCCCTCTCAATCCTTGGCACGGTGATGGTCAGCACACCATCCTTAATCTCAGCAGTAATTTCATCGATTTTCGCGTCGTCCGGCAGCAAAAGACTTGTATTATAGTAACCGTAGCTTTTGGATGACCAATATTCATCATCAGATCCCTCTTCTTCCTCTTCTTTGTGCTCTCCTTTTATGGTAAGAACTCCATCCTCTACCGTTATCGTTACGTCATCCTTGCCAAGCCCCGGAACCTCGTATCGCAGTTTGTAGCACTCATTTTTCTCTTTTAACTTGCCAATGAGGTTAGAAGGTGACAACTTTTCGAATAATCTGTTAATGTTTCCAGTTGCTTGTAGTAAAGCATTTCCAAGCCCTGATGGAAATAATTCTAAAAACAAAATTCCCGTTAGTAAGTTATACTCTTCAATAAATATAACGAATAATATATAATAAGATAGAATTTACCCCAAGGAGCAGGAACAAAGTCACGGTTGTTACTTCTCCATAGACCCCTTCTACTTTTCCTCCTTGGGAATAACTTAAACTTCTTGTCACCACCTTCGGAAACGGCCACCTCTCGTGTGGCGCCGCCCTCTGATTTTTCGCCTGCCTCCGTCGAAAGACGCCGGAGAAATTCAGAAGTCCACTTTTGTTTATAGTAAGGTGTAGCACCGATATTAACATTTCGAGACAACAAAGAAGATGAAGGAGAAACCATCCTCTGCTGCAAAGATTTCAAAGCCAAACTAGCCAAAGCCATTATGATTTTGATTTTGGTTCGAACGGACAAGATTATTGTATATGAGTACGACCGATGAAGATTTTTGATTAGTTGTGATGAGAGGCGAAGAAGAATGCAACCTGTCTATGTAGTTGGTGTTTTACAGTGGAGAGAAGGCTCTGATAGGTTCTAGTAAGGGTGTGGGGTGGAGTGGGACGTGGGGCGAATGAGAAGGTTCTCATTCTTTAATCTTTATCCAACTTTGGCTTGAACTTTGAAGAGTGTTCTAGAGGTCTAATGCATCCCATGAACGGTTTCAAATCACACTTATAGATTTTAATTCAAGGTCAAGGTTGTTAGGATCATAATTTCAAATTTTCGATACAATCATTAAAGAATAATATTATTTATCATCATGATGATGATAAATCATCGATGATGTAACAGTTTACGTAAAATAATAAGATTGGACATGTCAATTTATATGAGAGAGGTGATGAGAGAGAAAAATATAAGGGAATAATAAGTTGTCATTTCACTGATAATTTATCATCATGATTATTAAAATCATATAACTGGATTGGATCGTAAAATCGTAAGATCATAAGATCCAAATTAGTTGTTCAATAACCATGATCAAGGCAACATAGAAATATAATGCCATTTTTATTTTTATTTTTTGGAAGAATCCACTGCCAAGACTGGAAAGTGCAATGACTTCTATCATACATTAGAAGTTTTAACACGAACTCGTGCGAATTTGCTCTGCTCGACCGAAAATGCATCATATCACACTTTATATTCAGTTAACAATACACTTTTGGTATCTTTGATAAGCATTAGACAGCACTATACAATACAATTTACAAGATTTCAATTTCTTATTCTCATTCAATGCTATCTAGTTGAGCATATCAACTTGCCATTTCTGTGTAGTCGCCTATTTGTTAAATAACTTAACATTTTACAACAGCAGTCGAGAGTCCTACTACTCGACCAACAATCAAAAACTAATGCTTATATTATATCAATCATACAGCCCTTCTTGCTCCCATATGTCAACTAAAAAATCTACCATTTCCTGCCAATTCAAAGTGAAATAATGAGATAAATGAAATGATGATCGAACAAAATAAAACCATGTTATGCTATCAGACTCACAGCCAGATGAACCGGCTTGGGGAATGGTTTGTTGCTGCTGAGCAAACTATTATAGGTCGCATTCCAACTGCAAAGCCGAAAGTTTTTAGCAATACAGAAGCAGAAAGTGCAGACAACAAATAAAAAAATGAACAATGGATTGAAAGGCGCGGTGAGGAGGGTGGGAGGGGGGTCACCATTTATTTTGTATAGTATGCTTCTCCCTCAAACTAACTAGAGGAAAAAGAAGATTGCAATATGGCTTTAGAAAGTGCATGGTCATCATAGAAGAAATACACAACTTGCTGCAAGGAAATGGATGTGAGGTAGTGGATGAACAGCATATAAAGCTATGGATTGCACAGCATGAATCTTATCTATCCATTGATATGATTTAGCATCAAACCACACAAAACATAAACCTTCAAATTAATTCTCCAACCAGTACCACTAAGAAGCTTCTAAACATAATCTGTAGAAAGGCACTGAATGAACACAACTCCGAATTTGTTGAGGACAAGGCTTAGTTTGTTGTTGTCATGTAAGCCAACATGTTAGTAGCAAGGATCTTATTTTGATTATTTTATTTTGGTTATTTTCTTATTTACTGGCTGATCTATTTATGTCGCTTTCCTCTTGTCTAATGTACACTCAATCTTTAAATGTAGAGAATAAAATCATCTCACCTCAACCTGGGCTCATGGAGCTTCTGCGACGATTTCGCAGACTTCTTATTTCCTATCCATTTCTGTCTAGTGTGACTCCAGAGAAGAAGACCTACAACCAGAGCCTTGTATTATAAGATCAAAATCATCCATAACAAAATTAAGTAAAACCTCAAATGAACAAGTAATTGCAGCTATTGTGCACGCGGGTTATGAATAATTGAATATAGCACCCTACAAAGTGCCATCGGTCTAATATATTTTCCCTCTGAAGAATTGCAGTTTTATTTGCTGGTAGAAGATTCAGCGAGAAAAGTAAATGAGAAAGGTATAGTTGACAGAGAAAAGAAAGAAAGAAAGAAAAATGGATAGATAATCCATCTGCCTCTGAATATTGTGTGAGGGCTTGTTAGACATTAACCGGGATTAAAGTAGGACAGCCAACCTATCCCATTCTACCGTGAACTCTTATATAGACTCACAATAGAAAACAAGTATCCTCTGAAATTGCCAAACCAAAATATAAATAACATCAAACAGTAATTAACGTTGCCAACAATGGGAAAATCAACTTTCCAGGATTTATATATTCAGAAGGGTTGTTCGAACTGCTAGGAGCATTAATTTGAGTTGATGAACTTATTGTCGAGATGCTTCCAAGTGACTGAACTGCACTATTTTCCATCTCACATGCGCTGGTGGTCCAGAAATCCTCAGTTATGCTAGGTTTTGAAGCCGTCAAAGCATGGCGTTTCGGACCTTGCAAGGGCTCGTTACGAGAAGAAATCAATTCCGGCTTAGTACAGTATCCAAGACAACCACTGCTCTGTTTCAAATGACATCAGCTGTAAGAAATCAACTTAAACAGTTCAAAGTGACTAAAATCATGTATTAATACTTCAAAGTTCTCTGATGAGATAACTCCTCCCACCCACCCCCGAAAAGGTACATACAGAAAGAAATTAAAAATTGTACATATTTCTCTAACCACAGAACAAGTGGAAACTATGCTGACATATAAATGCAAATGAACCGAGTCAAGCAAGGCAGAGGTTCTTCATGTTTGTTTATTTGATAGGCACGATTATGTTCAGCCAATGTTCTTAATGAACTTAAATTGTGAAACAATGGTCGTTCACAGAATGAACAAGCCCTTCATGAACAGCTCTATTTGGAATTAAATTTACAATATTTTTTGATAGGTAAAATAACGTGCACCCCACACCATTGAGGATCTATTTCCAAACATATTGTGCAAAAAAAAAAATTGACTCCAAAACAAGTACGGGAAAGGTTTTAAACAATGGCTTTGTAAGTTTTAAGACATGATAAAAATATCGAAAACGTGTTCATTTTCCCACTTACTGATAAAATTATGGTAGTTTTTATTACTTGGAAAGGAACTGCCAAAACATAATTTAAGTCTTTTGTTATTGTCATCAATTGAGATTTGTTTTCCAAAATGAGACAATCATGATTTATGGTTTCCAATGTGTGGGTTCATACATAAAAAGGAAAACAGGATTTTATATGTTTCCCAGCAAGTTCAAATTTCCTTAAGCATTAGATTCCAATGTTATTCACGACACATTACCAGAAACAATTATCGGTAAGGAAAAACGCAATCACTAAAAATGAGGAAGAAAATATGTTCTATTTAGGGTTGGGCAAAATGTCCGAACCGAACCGAATCGAGCGGGTTTTTTTAAATGAAATACCCGAACGAGTATCCGAATCGAGAACCGAATAAGAACCGAATTTTTTTTTTTTTATATTGGATAAATCAATTTCTTTTATTTTTTCTAAACAAATTAATAATTTTTTTCTTATTAAATCTTATTAGTTGAACAATTTAGAGTTTATTTATGTTTGTTAGTTGTGTTTTTTTTCA